TTTTCAAGGTCATCCATGTTATAGTGTACCCATACTTCATTCCTTTTTATCGCCAAGTAATATTCCATTGTACAGATATACTGCATTTTATCCATTCCTCAATTGATGGGCATTGGATTGTTTCTATTTTTTAGCTACTGTGAATAATGCTACTATGAACATTGGTATATATGTTTTTATGTGAACAGGTTTTCTTTTTTCTTTTCTTCTTTTTTTTTTCAGACAGAGCCTTACTCTGTTGCCCAGGCTGGAGTGGCACCATCCAAGGCCCACTGCTGCCTTGACATCCCTGGGCTCAGGTGATTTTCCCGCTGCCTCCGCACCCCCACCTGAGTAGCTGGGACTGCAGGTGTGAGCCACCACGCCTGGCTAATTTTTGTATCGTTTTTAAATAGAGACAGGGTTTGGCCATGTTGCCTAGGTTGGTCTCAAACTCCTCAGCTCAAGTGGACCATCCACCTCACCACCCCTCAAAGTGCTGAGATTACAGGTATGAGCCACCACGCCCAGCCAGGTTTTCAGTTCTCTTGGGCATATACCTAGGAGTGGAACTGCTGGGTCATATGGTGACTCTGTTTAACTTTTTTAGGAACTGCCAAACTGTTTTTCCAACGTAGCTCCATCATTTTATATTCCCCCCCAATGATGTGTGAATATCCCTGTTTCTCCAGATCCTCTCTCATACTTATTATCTGTCTCTTAGTTATGCTAGAGGGTGTGGAGCGGCAGTAGCTTACTGTGGTTTTGATTTGCATTTCCTTATAATAATAAATAATGGGCTGGGTGCAGTGGCTAACACCTGTAATCCCAGCACTTTGGGAGGTAGAGGCAGGCAGATCACCTGAGGTCAGAAGTTTGAGACCAGCTTGGGCAACATAATGAAACCCTGTCTCTTACTAAAAATACAAAAATTAGCTGGGTGTGGTGGTGCACAGCTGTAATCCCAGCTACTCAGGAGGCTGAGGCAGGAGAATTGCTTGAACCCAGAAGGCAGAGGCTGCAGCGAGCCAAGTGACAGAGTGAGACTCCGTCTCATAGATAAATAAATAATGGTGTTGAGCATGAGATGGCTGACGTTTGGGTCAGCTCTTTCTGCACCCCAGCTGTGTTTCCTGTAGAAATCTCTCCTCAGTTTCTCTTCATCTCCTGCCTAGACTCAGCGGTCGTTTTGGGCTCTTGGATGCTGATTGATGCCTTCTTAGTGAGGTACTTTGGGGGAGCCCTCTGGGTGAGTTCCGATGGTCAGACTACTATATGTCTAGAATTCAAGGTGTGTGTTTTTGTCTGCAGGTTTGATGTTACTCTTGAGGCTGCCACAGCCATCAGGCAGACTTGCCAAACTGCTGGGACAAAGCCAGCCTTCCCGCAGACACCCTGTGAACAGGATCCAGGGTTCTTGATCCGGAAACGGTCTTTAGAGTCTATCTCATTCATCCTTTTGGAATAAGACAGTTAGGACCCCTTCCTCACTCTACCAGACTGGGGAGAATGTTTCATTTATTATTTTTTTTAATTTCTGTAGGAAGAAATTCCACTGGCCCCATTTACTACCAGCCAGTATTTTAGTAGACTTCTGTGTTAGAAAAATGCTTTGCCCTGACCCAGATCCCACCTCCTGCAGCACATGCCAATTTCCTCTCATGCTTTGCTTTCTTGGAAGATGTGAGAGACAGCTGCTCCCTAGGAGGGGCTTCATTCTGTTCAGACAAAACCACTTTGGCTAGAGAAGCCCTCACATGAGGAAGTCCAGAGCAAGCCAAGTCCCCTCCAGGAGACTTTAAAGATGGAATGACCTTGTCACTTGGCGATTGCTTGGGCAGCCTGCTTTGAAAAAGAGAACTTCTGACAGGCTTCAGGTCGTGTGTTTATCCCGAGGCTGGGCCATTCCAAATTCATGTTTCAGAGTTTAGAGGTTGTGTCCAGCCAGGCTGTGGGTGGTAATCAAATGCAGGTGGAGACCATCTGGCCAGGCCTGTTCCTCCCACCCAGCCAAGTGAGAGCTGGCCTGCCTACCACAGAGGTGGCCCAGAAAACACCCTGTGTGGAGGCAGATGGTGGACATGTGCGTGTGCACACATGCACGGCTCTAGTTGCGTGTGCACACAGCCCCTCCTTAGTGAGGTGGTGCTATGTGGATGCATCTGATCCAGTGATTTTTCTCTCTCTGATTTGAGGGTCTCCTCGTTGTACAGCTGAAGAGGAACAAATTTCTTTTAGCCTGTTTCTCAAGTTTTTATGGTTAGAAATCATGTATTTTTCTTGGCCCAGGATGAAAGCCTTGGAGTAATGGTTTAATACATTTAACAAAGCTGCCTCTAATTGGTGGCTGCTTAAAATCTTCTCTTTGCCCTAATGACCCATCTTCCTTTGCAGAGTTTTAACTCTAGTCAATCTTGGCATTACCCCAGGTTTTCACACCCCTCCCAAACCTGCAGCTCCAGAGAGGTAGCTCTTCCAACTTAGAGTTTGGTAGCTGTTCCCTTAGCCTCCCTGCACTGAATTGACCCCAAACAGGGTAATTCAGCAAGGAAATAAAGTAGCTTACATTGTGTTGTCTAAGCATCTTCTGCTGGCCTGGTCTCCAAAATTCCACGTTTGTGCCCTCAAAATGGATTCTATTTCCCCTATTGCTACATATACCTGGAGAAAATGCAAACTGTGGATACTTGCTTTAAATATAATTGGACCAGGTGCTGTGGCTCATGCCTGTGTTTTCCCAGCACTTTGGGAGGCCGAGGCATGAGCCTGGGAATTCAAGACTAGCCTAGACAATGTGTTGAGATCCTGTCTGTACAAAATTTTTAAAAATTAGCTGGGCATGGTGGTGCACACCTGTGGTTCCAGCTACTCAGGAGGCTGAGGTGGGAGGATTGCTTGAGCCCGGGAGGTCGAGGCTACAGTGAGCCATGTTCACACCACTGTATAGAGCAAGATGTTGTCTCAAAAATAAATGGGCTGGGCACGGTGGCTCATATCTGTAATCCCAATACTTTGAGAGGCCAAGGCCAGAGGATTGCTTGAGCCCAGGAATTTGAAGCCGTCTGGGCAACATAGGGAGACCTTACCTCTACTTTAAAAAAAAAAAATTGGGAGGCTGAGACAAGAGGATCACTTGAGCCCAGGAGTTCACAGCTGCAGTGAGCTGAAGATCACACCACTGCACTCCAGCCTGAGTAACAGAGTGAGACCCTGTCTCAAAAAAAATAGATAGATGATAGATAGATAGATAGCTATAGATACATACATATATACATACATACATAGGGCTTGATCATGATAACTTCTGATGATTCCTTTTTAATCCATTAGAGAACTTAGTTTCTCAGGGTTGATCTTTCCCTGCAAAGTGCAAGAGGGCTGGGTTCACCCAGGCACAGAAAACTAGGCTTCTGAGACTTGGGAATCTCTTTCTATCCCATCTCCTGGCCTTGCCTGTCAGGGGTGATGATGATGATAAGGAAAGATGCCATGTGGAATTCCAGGGTTGGGCATTGACTGCATCATTAGCCCTTGCGAATTCTCACCTATGATCGCCTTTTCCAGGAGCTTGGTTGGCTGTCATCTTAGTTTATGGTTTGTATTTGTATGCCGATGAGTTTACATGTGTATAATCATTGTGGCTCATGTTTGTACAAGTTATAATTACTGAAAATTATATCATGAATGTATTTTAATTTTAACCTTCCCATGCTGGCAAGCGTTGTGTAGCTCTCCCTGGATGCTTCCCTTACCTGAGGTGTGGCACTGTGCCATCCGGGCCCTGCTCTCCAATCCACATCATTGCCCTCTCTGATGAAGTCCCTTTCAAGTACTTCCCTGAGACTTGGGGCTCCTGAGTGTTTCCTGCAAACAAGGAGGCAGGGACTCCTGCCTTCTCTCATTGTCACTTTAATGAGTTGTGGCCACAGAAGCAGTCATCCTTATCATTCTGGTTCACTGAGGGATGGGAAGGGAGGGAAACCCATGCTTCTCTGGGGTTCCAGCAATTGAAGAGTGCATGTGGAGTGCCAGGTTTCAGGAAGAGCATGTGGTAATTGAGGAGTGTGTGTTGGGTGCTGAGTTTCAGGAAGAATATGGTCCCACCCAGTATTTGGAATCTGCCTTGGGACCTGTCCACAAATGCTGAGTTTGAAGGTCAGCCAGTGCCACCCAAGGTTGTACCCTTATGGGACAAAGTGGAGGTGGGAGTAGAGAAAGGGTCTCATCCTCACAGAGTCTATTAGTCCGTTCTCACACTGCTATAAAGACATACCCGAGATTGGGTAATTTATAAAGAAAATAGGTTTAATTGACTCACAGTTCCACATGGCTGGGGAGACCTCAGGAAACTTACAATCATGATGGAAGGGGAAGAGGGCGGCAGGCAAAAGAGAGTGGGCAAGAGCAGGGAAAACTGCCTTATAAACCTATCAGATCTTGTGAGAACTCACTCATTATACAAGAACAGCATGGGGGAAATCGTCCCCATGATCCAGTCATCTCCCACCTGCTTCCTCCCTTGGCACGTGGGAACTATGGGGATTACAATTCGAGTTGAGATTTGGGTGGGAATGCAGAGCCAAACCATATCACAGAGCATATAGCCTTGTGGCTCATAGGACATGTTTCCTTAGCAAACAAAGTAGATGCCTATTAACAGCTTGAAGGAATATGGAGCATGAACAAGGGAGACTTTCAGCAGTGTTCCCTCAATCATCCAGAAAGGAATATTCCAGAGCCACAAAATTTGGAACTCTAATTCAGAGTGCCAGCAGTAGAATTTGGCCAGGCCAAGGTCACATCCATATACCCAGAGCTGGCCAGGAGGACAAGGCAAGAGTTCTGGTTCCTTATGGGCTTTTGATATTCCCTCCCAACAAGGCTTACATCCTGGGATACTCCTCTGAATGGAGGGTGTGGATACTGAGGTCACTATAAAAAGGGGGAGAACTTTAGACTTTCAAGACAGTGTTTTTCCTAAGGTAACAGAGCTTAAAACATTTGCTTTTTATGTCTTTCAGGTTTACAGGAACAGATGGACCTAGTGGTTTTGGCTTTGAGTTGACCTTCCGTCTGAAGAGAGAAACTGGGGAGTCTGCCCCACCAACATGGCCTGCAGAGTTAATGCAGGGCTTGGCGCGATATGTGTTCCAGTCAGGTAGGAGCCCAGGGCTGGCTGCTGTGCTGGTCCTTTTGCTATGAGCTTGGTCGACTTTGAATACTAGCAGGTATATTTTCATGTCTGTGGAGTGGCCTTTCCTGGGAGTGGGCCCAATTCTGCCATGAGGGTGGCTTGTTTTCCCTGGTGTTTCCTGGGTGGAAAGCCAGTTGGGCCATGGCAGAGAGGGGTACTCCCCTCTGCCCTCCAGCAGCAAGTTCTGTGTTATGTTCTGCCACCCTGCGCCCTTGTGTTTCATGGAGGATTTCTTTCATATTATCTGATATGATATGTTTCTGTGTGGCTAATTGATCAGAAGCGTTTCCCATCTGACCTTAGATTTTGTTTCTTTGGTTTTGTAAGTAGACTTCAAATGAAGGCCAGGATACTTTCCCCCAACTCTTTTGCTCTTGGACTATCATGGATAAAGTGCAGAGCAAGCCTGGGTCTCTCAAAGCATGGTCCTTCTACCACCTGCCTCAACTACCTGGAGAGCTTGTTGCAAACACATATTCCTAGGCCCCCATTGCAGATGTCTAACTCAGAATCTTTGGGAGTAGTGTTCCTTGGTGCTTCTGGTAGAGACGAAATTTAGAGAACCATAGATCTGGTAGCTTCTCTAGTTACAGTGACATCTTTTTTTAAACCTTGAGTAGGTTATACATTTGGGGTACAATAGACCTGTCTAGGTTGAACCCCTCTGCCCGCATTTCACACTTGTGGGAGTCAGTTGTTGGCACATGGGGCAGATCCATAACTACCACCTACCATTGTGTGCCCTGTGGGATGGTACCCTCATGGAGGCTACAGTGGGTCTTCTCTAAGCAGGATTTCCTAAATCTGGCTGCCCATCAACCCCCAAGAGGAGCTTGCTGATTTCCAAACCTTCCTGCAGGACTCCAGTTGAGGTAGCCAGAAGCAAGACTAGGGCAGGCCAGGCACAGTGGCTCACACCTGTAATCCCAGCACTTTGGGAGGCCGAGGCAGGCAGATCAGCTGAGGACAGAGTTCAAGACCAGCCTGGCCAACATGGTGAAACCCCATCTCTACTGAAAATACAAAAATTAGCCTGAAAAAAACAAACAAACAAACAAACAAAAAACAGTCCAGGTATAGTGGCTCACACCTGTAATCCAAGCACTTTGGAGGCCAAGGTGGGCCGATCACCTGAGGTCGGGAGTTCAAGACCAGCCTGACCAACATGGTGAAACCCCTGTCTTTAAAAAAAAAAAAAAAAAATTAGCCTGGGAGGTGGAGGTTGCTGTGAACCAAGATTGCACTGCTGCACTCCAGCCTGGGCGACAGAGTGAGATGCCATCTCAAAATTATATATATATAAATAATAGTTCACAATAGTTGTGAAACATAACATTAATAATGGAACAAATTATTATTATGTACCTTCTTATGTGTTGCAATATAAGGTATGTGATATCAGCTATATAGCATTTTCCCAAAAATGTTTAACCTGAATCAAGTTATAAACAGACAAATCCAGATTGTGAGGCACTTTACAAGACAAATGCCTATATTCTTGAAAAATGTCAATGCTATAATCCCAGCACTTTGAGAGGCTGAACCAGGAGGCTCTCATGAGTTCAGGAGTTTGAGACCAGCCTGGACAATGAAGCAGGACCCCGTAAATTAAAGATAAGCCAGGCAGGGTGGCATGCCTATAGTCCCAGCTACTTGGGAGGCTGAGGTAGGAAGACCACTTGATCCTAGGAGGTTGAGGCTGCAGTGAGCCCTGATTATGCCACCACATTCCAAGCTGGGCAACACAGTGAGACCCTACCTAAAAAAGAAAAAAGAAATACACACACACACATACACTCCAATGCTATGAAAGACATAAAAAGACAAGGGGCAGGGGCTATTCTACATTTAAGGAAACATAGCAGTTTAAATGCACTGTTGATCCTTGATTAGATCCTGAATTGGAAAAAAAAAAAAAGGTCATTTCTTAAGAACAATTGAAAAAATATGAGCTTTAAGGTCATTTTTAAGGACAAGGAAAAATATGAGTTTTTAAGGACAATTGGAAAAATACTGTGTATTACTTAATAGTACTGTACTACTGTGCAATTCCCTGGATGTGATTATGGTATTATGGTTATACAGGATAATGTCCCTGTTGCTAGGAGATAAAGGCTAAAGTATTAATGGATAAAATGACCTGATGTCTTTAACTTAATTGTCAAACGATTCAATTGATTTAGTTGTCAAAAAATAAAACATCTGTGTGTGAAGTGAAGATAAAGCAAATGTGGTGAAATGTAACAACTTATGAAGCTAGGTGAATGGCATTTAGGTATTCATTGCATCGTTCTTTTAATTTTTTATAGGATTGGAAATTTTCAAAATAAAATAAAAGTTGTGGCTGTTTGTTGAGTGTACGTTGACTAGTATGTGCTCTGCAGGCCCTTTCTGTACCTGATGGCCCCGCTTATGGTGGTTATAATGTGCCTGCTGTAGCTTGTGTCAGCAGATCACTTTAGGCACATCAGAACGAGAAAGGGTGACTACACTCTTAAAAGTGTAATACTTGACTTTCTATTTTCCAGATTTTCTGTAACATGATTGTACTATTTAAATAACAGGTAAGCTTTTCACATGTTGCGAGGGCCAGACCGCAGGCCTCACCTTGTGGCGGTGCGCCAGAGCAGAGTACGAGTCTGAGGTGGAGGGAGTCATGGCAGGACAAGCCTTTAGAAAGTTTCTTCCACTCTTTGACTGAGTATTGGTTGAAAGAAGTGCTGCTGAAACTATAACCAAAGGAGGCATTATGCTTCCAGAAAAATCTCAAGGAAAAGTATTGCAAACAACAGTAGTCGCTGTTGGATCAAGTTCTAAAGGAAAGGGTGGAAAGATTCAACCAGTTAGCGTGAAAGTTGGAGATAAAGTTCTTCTCCCAGAATATGGAGGCACCAAAATAGTTCTAGATGACAAGAATTATTTCCTATTGAGAGATGGTGACATTCTTGGAAAGTACGTAGACTGAGATAAATTACTCTTGAAATGGCATCAACGTGAAGCTGCCCATTCCACTGAAGTTCTAAAATCTTTCATCATATAAATAATTTCCATATCTCTCTTTTAATAATAAACTAATGATAACTAATGACAAAAAAAAAGACAGGTAAAACAAATCTACTTTAAATTTTTTTTAGAATATGACAGGTAATAAGTTATTTAAATAATGGGAAAATTATAAAGAAAAGTAAATGGTAACTGATTCAAGATAGGAGACCATGGCTATGAGCCTAAATGATGATGAGAATAAGACTAACATTTGGACTTGTGCTCTGCATGCCAGTTCAAGTGATCATGGAATATGTGGACAAGCCTATGAATTAGGCACTGTGAAATGCCAGCTTTTCAGTTGCAGAAAGCAAGACAACACAGACAGGTTGAGCCGCATATTCAAGATCACACCTCTAGTGGGTATAAAGGCAAATTTGAACCCAGACAGTGTAGCTCTGAATGGCAGCTCTTGGTCAGACACAATGGTTTATGCCTGTAATCCAGCACTTTAGGAGGCCAAGGTGGGAGGTTGGCTTAAGCCTAGGAGTTCAAGACTAGCCTAGGCAACATAAGGAGACTGTGTCTCTATAAAAAAAAATTAAAACTTAGCTGTTGTGGTGATGCATGCTTGTGGTCCCAGCTACTCAGGAGGCTGAGGTGGGAGGATTATGCATAAGCCTGGAAGGTACAGGCAGCAGTGAGTAATAATCACCATTGCACTCCAGCCTGGATGACGGAGTGAGACCCTGTCTCAAAAGAAAAAGAAAACCAAAAAAAGGCCAGGCCTGGTGGTTCACACCCATAATCCTAGCACTTTGGGAGGCCGAGGTGGGCGGATCACGAGGTCAGGAGTTAGAGATCAGCCTGGCTAACATGGTGAAACCTTGTCTCCGTTAAAAATATAAAAATTAGCTGGGTGTGGTGATGGGTGCCTGTAATCCCAGCTACTCAGGAGGCTGAGGCAGGAGAATCGCTTGAAACTGGAAGGCAGAGGTTGCAGTGAGCCGAGATCGTGCCACTGCACACCAGCCTGGGCAACAAGAGTAAAACTTCATCAAAAGGAAAAAAGAAAAAAAAGGAACAGTCCAGGTGTGATAGCTCATGCTTGTAATCCCAGCACTTTGGGAGGCCAGGGCAGCTGGATCACCTGAGGTCAGGAGTTTGAGACCAGCCTGGCCAACATGGTGAAACCCTGTCTCTACTAAACATATAAAAATTATTTGGGTGCGGTAGTGGTGGGTACCTGTAATGCCAGCTACTCAGGAGACTGAGGCAGGAGAATCATTTGAACCCAGGAGGCGGAGGTTGCAGTGAGCTGAGATCACGCCATTGCACACAAGCCTGGGCAGCAAGAGTGAAACTTCATCCAAAATGAAACAAAAAAAGTACACATAACTGTACAGCTTGATGAGTTTTCACAAACTATATATACCCATGTAACTAGCACCTAAACTGTGAAACAAACCAGTTCTCCAGAAACGTCTCTGATGTCTCCTTTTAGTCAATACTCTTACCCTCTCCTGACTTCCAACAATACCACTTTTTTTTTTCTTTTGTTTGATTTCACTGCATAGTTAGGTCCTTAGCACTGTGTGCCTAAACTCGTTGCTAATAGCCTAAGTAGGCTCCCATCTCCGCTTCTCTTGCCTGAACTGTTCTCCATCTGCCTGTGACTGCCAGATCAAGACAGCAGCATGGTGTGGTGGCTTAAGAGCATGGTCTCCTGACCCAGACAGCTTGCATTCATATTGGCTCTGTCAGTTACTGCCTCCTTGGGCAACACGTATGTCCATTTGCTCAGCTATGAAGCAGGGATAATAGTTACCACATGAAGTTATTGAGAAGATGAAGTGAGTTAATACCTGTGAAACACTTCATGCCTAGTATGCAGTAAGTACTATATAAATTTTACAGTGACTCATACCTGTAATCCCAGCACTTTGGGAGGCCTAGACAGGCAGATCACTGAGGTTAGG